GAGCCCATGAGTTAGAGACCAGGCTGGGCAACATAGCTAGAACCCATTTCTAAAAAAGAAAGAAAAAAAAAGTAGTAATGGTGGTTGAGATTATAGAGAAAAATGGAGTAAAAAAAAAATAGACAGTTGAGAAGGAGATGGAGACTTTCACTGCAGTTCATAGTTTTTTGTTGTTTTTCTTTCTTTTGGTACTGGGGATTGAACCTTGGAGTGCTTACCACTGAGCTACATGATTTTTTTTTCGTTTGAGACAGTCTTGTTAAGTTGCCTCGGTCCTCGCTAAGTTGCTGAGGCTGGCCTCAAACATTCTGATCCTCCTACTTCAGCTTCCCCAGTCACAGGGATGACAGGTATGAGCCACCATGCCCAGCTGTAGTTCATAGTTTTACTTATTTATTGGGGGGCGAGTGCCGGGAATTGAACTCAGGGGCACTGAGCCACACCCCCAGCCCTATTTTGTATTTTATTTACAGTTGCTTAGTGCTTTGCTTTTGCTGAGGTTGGCTTTGAACTTGAGATCCTCCTGCCTCAGCTTCCTGAGCCACTTGGATTACAGGTGTGCACCAATGAGCCTGGCTTCCTAGTTTTAAATAAGGAGTCAGAGAAGGCTTTGTGGAAAAAGATATTGGAATGAAGATCTGAAGAAGGTGAGGGAATGAGGTCAGCAGGATATGGGGGCAGTGACTTCCCAGCAGAGAGGACACAGTAAGAGCTGGAGAGACTGAGCAGGTGGAGGAGGGAGGAGGAGATGAGGTCCAAGAGGCCGCAGGCTCCAGATGGAGGGAGGATCCCCTGAGTCTCAGAGGCCATGGTGATGACTATGGGTTTCCCTCCCCACAAGATGGGGAGGTTGGGGAGGATTTTGTCTGGGAGTGACATGATCTGACTTATTTTTAAACAAAATCACTCTGGCTGCCATGTTGTGAAAAGAATGGGAGCAAAGAGTATTGTAAGAAATGATAGTAGCTCAAGTCGAGGTGATAGAAGTGGAGATAGAACTGATTGGATCTGGGATATACTTTGAAGAGAAAGCCAAAAGAATTTGCTGAGAAATTAGACATGGAGTATGATGTAAGAAAAGAGTCTGAAACGACTCAGCGGCCTGAGGAGCTGAAGGATGAAGCTGCCATTAACTGAGCAGGGGAAAACTGGGGGAGGCGCAGGGTTGGGGGGAAGAGGAGCCTGAGTTTGGATGTGTTAAATTTGGGGCATCCAGGGGTGTCAAGTAGGAGTTGCATGAGCGAAACTGGTCCTGAAGGGAGAGGTCTGGGCTGGAGAAACAAATTTGGTTGTCGTCAGCAGAGGGATGGTATTTAAAGCCCTGAGTCTGGATGAGATCACCAGGGGAGAGCGTGGGGACAGAGAAGAGGTGAGTTCCATGTGCAGCTGAGCCCTGGGGCAGGCAGCTGGAGAGGTTAGGAAGTTAGGGAGGGGTCAGCAGAGAGAGCAGAAGTCCCAGGCAGCAAGGCAGAAGGAAACAGGGATCTCTGGTCTCCAAAGCCAACTGAGGCAGGTGCTTGAAGGAGCAGTGAAGGGTCCACCTGTCCAATGCAGCTGACAGGACAAGGGTGGGAAAGGGCTCGTGGACTTAGTGGTGTGGAGTGAAGGCTGGACAGAGTGGGTTCTTTGGTAGAGCTCAGAAATAGACAGATTCTTCTGGCCTGGTACTGCTTAATGAGTCCCTGCCAGGGACCAGAGGTGACATACCCTCTCACATCTGTACCAACAACTCGGTGAGGAAACTGAGGTTTGCACAGGTTCTGAGTTTGCCCAGGGTCCCACATAGAGCCGGGATCTACTCAGGCATGTCTGAGTCTGCAGCCTAAGACCTTTCCACGCCCAGGGCACGTCCTTTGCTATAGGCTGAGCTCCTCCCAGCCTCCCTGCACAGGACTCATCTGGACCTACTTGGGGATTCACTTCTTGCCTGGGTGGTGGGTGTGAGTTTCCTAGGTGTAGACAACAACGCCTACCAGTTTTCCTTGCAACACCTGCAGCACGCACAGGTGCTTGGAGAAGGGCAATACACAGGCCTCGCCCTCAGCCTTTAAGCTTGATACTCACACACCCAGACTTTGGCCCCAGACAGTCCTGGGTTCAAATCCTTATTCTGCCACATACCAGTTTTATGACCCTGGGCGAATCAGCTAGTGGGGTGCCTTGGTTGCCTCACTGTATGATGGGGTAAGAGTCTGCCTCTCAAAGTGGCTGTGTGGCAGGGTGCTTACTACTCACTGAGTGGTTGCCACTAGTTTTGTTGCCCTTTGGCGTTAAAGAGTTTGCAACTGGCTGGGAAACAGGTTGGCAGTGACCAGGCTTCTGTCTCCAGCTGGTATAGGGACAGCCGGGTGGCCTGTCATAGGGCCTAAGGGGTCTGGCAGAGTTGGAGGGATCACTGGGAGACAGGGCCTCAGCTGGGGCTCTTACTTGGAGCACAGGAAGCTGGAAGGGAAGGAATGAGCATAAGCCTGAGACAGACTCAAGAAGGTCCCCTGCCTAAGGGTGTGGGTTCTGGTGATGGATGCTGGGTTCAAGTCTAGGCCTCTTCATTTACCAGCTTTGTGACCTCAAATTACTCTACCTAACCTCTCTGTGCTTTACTTTCCTCTTCAGTATGAAAGAGATGTTTCCTGAGGATTAAAACAAGTTTGTGTAAAAAGCACTGCACACACATAGGAAGCTCTTGATGAATATAGTACTGTTAATGGTTAGTGAGTGACACTCATCACAATACTGTGAGGTAGGTAATGTCTGCATTTCATAGGACAGGTGTTGTGGCACAGAGAGGGTCTGTCACTGGCCCAAGGTCACACAGTGGGGAACCAGAATTCATATTCGAATAGTCTAGCTTCAGAGACCAAAACAACCCTTAGATTCCCACCTCCCTGAGAAAGGCATCTTGACTCCAAAGACATCTTTAGTCACCATTGAACTCCCAGGAATGGGAGTTTATCTCACACACAGAGGGTCCGAATTCCCAGAACAGGGCCCTAGTGTAGTGGGCCAGGCCCTCAGTAAAAGCAAAACATGCTTCCCTAGATGCACCTTCACACAGACACTGTCCTGCTCTCTCGGGTTGGTGGTTGTGTCCCCACAGGACAGCAGCAGATGGCATCAGGGCTCAATATGCACAGGATACTTTTGTTTTTTAGTACAGGGGATGGAACTCAGGGCTTTACCCATGCTAGGCAAGCACTCTGCCACTGAGCTGCACCCTCAGCCCTTCTGTGTTTTTATTTTGAGAAGTTGCAGAGGCTGGCCCAGAACTTGTGATCCTTCTGCCCAAGTTGCTGGGATTATAGGCGTGCAGAGGATTTCTTTTTTTTCTTTCTTTTTTTGTACTAGGGACTGAACCCAGGGGCACTTTACCACTAAGTTACATCCCCAGCCCTTTTTGAATTATTGGGGGGGGGGGGTACCAGAGATTGGACTCAGGGGCACTTGGCCACTGAGCCACATCCTTGGCCCTATTTTTGTTTTGTTTTGTTTTTGTTGTTGTTGTTGTAGATGGACACAATATCTTTATTTGTTTTTATTTTATATGTGGTGCCAGGGATCGAACCCAGTGCCTCACTCATGCTAGGCAAGCGCTCTGCCCCTGAGCCACAACTCCAGTCCCTCCTCAGCCCTATTTTGTATTTTACTTAGGGATAGGGTCTCACTGAATTGCTTAGCTCCTCGCTTTTGCTGAATATGGCTTTGAACTCGCGATCCTCCTGTTTCAGTTTCCCAAGCCACTGGGATTACAGCGTGCGCCACTGTGCCTGGCCTGTCCTTTTTTGTTTTTAAATTTTGAGGTAGGGTCTTACTGAGTTGATGAGGGTCTCACTAAGATTCTGAGGCTGGCCTTGAACTTGCAATCCTCCTGCCTCAGCATCCCTAGTGGCTGGAATTAAAGATATGCACCACAATACCAGGCCAGAGAATACTCTTTGAGAGTCCTGGAGGCATCACAAGACCCACAGGAAAAGGGAGTGTAGTATTATTACTGACACAGGCATTGTGCTAAGTACTCTACTGCCATCCCCACTAGCTTGGGCTCTTTATACCTGTTTAGATATGAAAACAGATTCAGAGAGGTTGAGTGGCTTGTCCAAGGTTGCCTGTGGAGAGGTAGGACTTTCCTCCCTGTCTGAGGTGGTGAAATCAGAACTGGGCCCTCAGCTGCCTGACTGCAGCTTGTCTTTCCGCTGCCCCTTGGCATGCATGTGTACACATATGTACATGCATATTTGCCAAATTGTTTGTCTTCCTTACTGGGCACTTTGGTGTCTTGTATAAGGTTCATGAAATATTCATGTCTTAAAAGAAGAAACTGAGGGCGGCTGGGGAAAAAAAAGAAAGACTGCAAAATAGATGTAGATGGAGCTGGTTGTCCGCTGCACTGGGGACTCCAGCAACACAGGCATCCTACTTGTGCCCATGCTTCTGTTCTTCCTCCTAGTCAATCCCGTGTGTCCTGCACAGATACCCTCTATGAACCAGACCTTGGCCTGGGCACTGAGGTCCAGAGGTAGAGTGGAAGGGTGAGGTTGAAGACATGAAAAACAGTCATTACCATTTGGTGCATGAACAAGGGCTTCAAACTTTTTCTCAGTTTTTCCAACACACCCTCCTCCTTTCCGCCCGTGCACATGTTGTTCTCTGCCAGAACCCTCTTCTCCTTGCTTTGCCAACTCCGACTCATCCTAGTGATCTCAGCTTGGCTGCTGCTTCTTCAGGAAGCCCTCCAAATGCAGGTCCACCATCTCTGCAGTGCTGCTCAGGATGTGGTGCTTACCCTCTCCTGGAACCACCTTGCTATTTATTTGCCCTGCCGAAGGGCACGCTCCTCAAAGTCGGAGATTCTGCTGTTTCTCCACCATTATGTCATTAATGTCTGGTCCATACTGGACCCAACAAATGAATAAGTCCACTGGGCAAGGGAGATAGCTCTGTATTGAACCAATGGTCCAGATATACAATCTGACCCTCACTCCTCTCTTGTGTTGGTCTTTCAGCTATGATAGCCAGAATCCCCCCAGAGCCAAGACCTTCTCCAGAAGGAGACCCTTCACCCCCACCACCGCCACCACCAATGTCAGCCCTGGTCCCAGACACTCCCCCGGACACCCCTCCTGCCATGAAGAATGCCTCTAGCCCTAAACAGCTCCCAGTGGGACCAGAGAGTCCACCAGGGCAGGTGATGCCTAGGCCAGCCCCCCTGCAAGAAGAATTCCCTTCTTCAGAAGCAAAAAGCAGGGGACCCACCCCACCAGCCACAGGCCCACAGGATGCCAGGCCTTCTCGAAGGAGCAGCCAGCCATCCCCAACTGCAGTGCCAGCCTCCGACAGCCCCCCCAGCAAGCAAGGTATGTGTGAAGTCCCTGGTCTTGGGTCCAAACCCCTTGGCTCATGTTCTAGCACTGGGCAGTGCTGCCTGAGGGAACCCCCTTTTCCCTAGAGAAGATGAAGGGGGAGAGGGGCAGGGCAGAGGGATCCCCAGGCTGACTGCTCCTTGGGGAGACATTTCGACCAGCTCATGTTCCTTCTAAGATGTAAAGAAGTCGGGAGAGAGACACAAGCTGGCAAAGGAGCGGCGAGAAGAGCGGGCCAAGTACCTGGGTGAGTGTGGAGGCGTCGTGGTCCCCTTCACGGTCATCATCACCTTCAGCATCCTGTGAATGATGCTGCTGCTGCTGCTGGAACGCTTCATGTGCACTCTGCATGTCTCCTTTAACCCTCTCCGCCCATTTTGAGGCTCAGAGAGATGAAGTCACAGCTAGTATAGTAGCTGAGATTCAAACCCAGAGGCCTCATCGCAACCCAGATCCACGCTCTTAACCACAATACATGGATATCTGTCCAGTCAAGTCAGATGGGGATCTTGCATTGAAGAGCCCCTTTCTCCTTCAGTCCCGAGAAACCGGAGGCCAATGCTGGAGAAATAGGCCTCCTGTGAAGCCTGTCTTCAGGAAGCCCTTCAATGTGAGAGGGGGTCTGGGAGTGGAGGCTCCACCTAGGCAGGCAGGAGACAGACTACTGGGCTAGGGTCTCAGGGAGGTGTCTGGCCCAGACCTGCTGCAGAACCCCTCACACGCCTGGCTCCTTCCCCCCCCCCCCCCCCACGCAGCGGCCAAGAAGGCAGTGTGGCTGGAGAAGGAGGAGAAGGCCAAGGCCCTGCGGGAGAAGCAGCTCCAGGAGCGCCGTCGGCGGTTGGAGGAACAGCGACTTAAAGCTGAGCAACGCCGAGCTGCCCTGGAGGAGCGACAGCGGCAGAAGCTGGAGAAAAACAAGGTGCATAGGTGCTGGTTGGTACTGGGCCTGCACAGCTCTGCACGCTGGGGCCTGCATGTCTTTGTACTGGAAGTTGTATGCACATGGGTATTCATGTCTCCACTGGTCCCATCTGTGACCCTGGGCCACCTTTGCTCCCCTACATGCCACTGTGGGGTCCCTGTGACTGTGCCCGTGTGTGTGTGTGTGTGTGTGTGTGTGTGTGTGTGTGTGTTGCATAGGTTGTGTGTATGTGCCTAGCACTGCTACATGGGTAGATGCCTGACCCTGCCAGGTGGCCTCAGGCTAAAGAGGAAACATCCCCAAGGTCAGGACCCTCCCTGCCAGTGGGACATAGCTCTGCCTAGGAGTTCTAGGCAGGGAGAGTCCCACCCCATCCTCAGAGAAACAGCTCAGAACACCCAGGAAATGACTCAGGCACAGTGAAAAACTCTCCAAGAAGTCCAAAGGGATCTATTGCACATATCCTTAATCACAGCAAGGATTCAGTAACCCTGGTTACCTGCAATGAGTCAGGAAAAGCTTGGGTAGGGGGAGGCACTGTCACAGGAGAAATAAGGCTTTCTCTTAGATGTAGTAGATGATTCTGAGCCCAGACTTCTCTCCAGGAGCGCTATGAAGCAGCCATCCAGCGGTCAGTGAAGAAGACGTGGGCTGAAATCCGGCAGCAGCGCTGGTCCTGGGCAGGGGCCCTGCACCACAGCTCCCCAGGACATAAGACCAGTGAGTGGCCTGGAAGGGCTGATGGGTGGGTGGGCGAGGCTGAGGCCTGGCAAAGTGGGGAAGGGGCCAACTTCCATATAAGGAGGTGGTGGCTCCCTGCACCAGGTGTGTCTGGCTTCTCGTGACTTGTGTCTTCTGGAGTGGTCTGTAAACTGAATCGTCCCTTCCACTATCAAATCAGAGATGGATTCTCTCCATTTGGTTTGCTCTTCAAACCTCTGTCATTTTAGGAGTAGTCTTCTTTCCTCCTGTCAATTACTATTAGTTGATGATACATAAAAGAGGATTTTAATGCCCTGCAGACACTGGATATTTAAAGAAAACTGTCACCCCCTCTCTTGGAAGGTAGATTTTTATCTTTGAGTTCTCTTCATGTAGACTCATCATAGATTTTGGTCTGATTCTTTGCCAGCATGTATGTACCACTGTGTTTGGATGTCTTTATGCAATGGCAAAATTCAGTATTTCTAGCTCTTACCTTCTAGCGTATGTGCTCATGGATCTGTTTTGTGTAGCTTGACGTGTTTGCAATGGTGTATTTGTGGCCTTGTGTACCTCAGTGAGGGCTCCTAAGTCAGACAGACTGGGGCTCCAGCTCTGACACTTGTGCTGTGACCTTTAACTTCTCGACATCTCACTTTCTTCATCATGAAATGGGGATAACAATACTACTTGCCTCCGAGATTGTAGGTAGATGTTTGGAGAATCAAGTGAGGTAACAGGTGTGTGGTGCCCAGCACAGTGCCTGGCACATGGTAAGCATCCATGAATGCTAGCTGTTATAAATATCAGCCATGGTCAGGTTGCTTCAGTGTATTCATGCTTTGTGTGCATCTGGGTCTGACACATTGTCTGCTATTTGTGTTTCTGTCTGTGCATGTCTGCACACACATGTGCATATGCATAAGTACCTACCACTCTATATGCCTGTGTCTGCATGTCTTTGTCTTTGTGTGTCTGGATGAATATGTGAATTTGTGCTAGTGATTGTGTGTGGGTTCTTCTGTTCAGGAACGTCTGCATTGTCCCAGTATGTGGGTGTTGTATCCATAGTGCCTTGGCTGGGCAGTGTCAGCAAGTGCCAATGCTGGGTGGTTGTGGGGAGGGGTTGCAGCACCCAGCCTAGGGAATGGCTTCCTTTGGTCTGGCCAGGAAGGCTGTAGTTTTTCTAGAGTCACACCATTTCCTCCCTCTGCTCATTCTCTGTCGGCTCCCCCAACCCAAGTTGTCTCTGATCACGTACCCCTCATCCTCCGCCTCCCAGGGCCAAATCTGCCTCCTCCTCCCCATCCTAGCCTGCCCACTCCTCCCTCTCCCACCCTGCCCTCGGAGCATCCTGCATGGAAGGCCTCAGTGCCCCCCCTGGCTCCTGTCTGGCCCGGCCCTAATGCCGTGTCTTTTCCCCTCCAGGTGGGAGCAGGTGCTCCGTGTCGGCAGTAAACCTGCCCAAACACGTGGACTCTATAATCAACAAGCGGCTCTCAAAGTCCTCTGCCACGCTCTGGAACTCCCCCAGTAGAAGTAAGAGAAGGCCCAGCCTTCCCCCTCTAGAGCCCCTTGTAGCCCTACCAGGCGTCCTCCAGAGCCAGCCAGAACATCAGTCCCTGGAGCCCTCACAGACTCCAGGTCCCCATCCCCATTTGATCCCAACCAGGGTGTTATGCCCTTCTGGGGAGCCGGCATTTGGGTCTGGACCCTGAGGACAGAGTTGTGCCCTGCAGGAGAGGAGAACGGAGACAAAGGACAATGGCCCACAGGGCAGAAATCCTGGCAGGAGCCTCAAGAGCAAGTTGGGGTGGTGGCTGAGAGTGGGAATAGCCTGGCAGCCTTATCCCCAACCACAGCCAGCTGGCCTGGGCCAACCCGAGACAGATGGCCTTACCCCCATGTGTCAGATTGGCCTGGGTGCTGTGTGGGGGTCATTCTGGCTCCACCCTGGAGGTCCATACAACCCTGCCCCACTCTGCCTTCAGAGCCCCAGCCGAGACCTTGGCTAGTTCCAGAGCTGTGGCTAACCAGGGTGGCACAGTCCCTGCATTCCCACCATGCCCTGGTGCTTACATATGAAAGGAGCCATGGTAGGAGTTATTTATAAGTTTCTTTAGCTTTTATTTGGTTGCTTTGTTGCCTAGCAACCAAATCAGCTGCTGCACCAACCCCACCTGACTGACGCTCAAAAATAACCCAGCAGCTGAGGAGACAGAGCAGGGTGGCCTAGGGCAGCCAGGCCCCCTAGCAGCCTCACCCTGGCACAGGACTTCTAGAGACTGGATCAGAGGAACCAAGGATCCTCGCTGTCCCAAATGCACAGGCTCATGCCTGCCCCAGACCAGTACTCTGAGAGCAGAAGAGGCAGGACCCTACAGAGGGACATGGAAGAGGTGGATTGGGTCTTCCACCAATCCTGCAGGGCTGCTTCTTATGCTCACAGTTCCGAGCCACTTCATCTGGGGACAGTGGTAGGCAGAATCCTGAAGCCATGCAGGGTGTTACCCGGGGAAGTGTTTTCTTGTCTGGGTAGGCAGTGGAGGTCCAGATCTCAGGAAGGACAAGCGTGGCCCCGTGTGACTCAACAGGAGATTCATTCTGGATGAGAATCCTTGGGCTCATCTTGAGGACAGTACCTGTCCCCTCCTATACCTCCGCCTGCAGTGACCTGCTTCTCCGGTGTTCTCCCCCCAGATCGCAGCCTGCAGCTGAGTGCATGGGAGAGCAGCATAGTGGATCGTCTGATGACGCCCACCCTCTCTTTCCTGGCTCGGAGTCGCAGTGCGGTCACTTTGCCCCGCAACGGCCGTGACCAGGGTAGGGGCAGCGGCTCTGGGAGACACCCCACGAGGGGCCGGGCAGGGGCCCGCCTCGCGCCTGGGCCGCACCCCGACCGCACTCATACCTCCGCAGCCGTGCCCGTTTGCCCGCGCTCGGCCTCCGCCAGCCCCCTGACACCGCCGTGCAGCGCCCCCCGGAGCGTGCACCGCTGCACCCCGGCCGGGGAGCGCGGAGAGCGGCGCAAGCCCAGCGCCGGGGGCAGCCCCGCTCTGGTTCGCCGTCGGCCGGAGGCCTCTCCGGTGAGTGGCAGCGCAGGTGGGAACAAGCTGCCTGTACCCAGGAGCACGAGTGGCACTGACCTCAGCACCCCTTCTCCGCTCTCTCCTACCCTTCCTGCCAGGTGCAGAAAAAGGAGAAGAAGGACAAGGAGAGGGAAAACGAGAAGGAAAAGAGTGCCCTGGCCCGGGAGCGCAGCCTCAAAAAGCGCCAGTCGCTACCTGCAACTGTGCGGCCACGTCTCTCTGCTGGCACCACCTCTGAGCTCAGGTGGGTGCAAGTGGTGGGCGGGCCCTGCACCACCCCAGGCCATGCATACACGCATTCATTCACAAATACTTGCTGGGCAGGCACTCTAGAATGAAAGTTTCTTGAGGGCTTTTTTTTTTTTAGTTGTACATAACACAATACCTTTTTAAAAAAATATTTTTTAGTTGTACATGGACTCAATATCTTTATTTTGTTTATTTGCTTTACTGCTGAGCCACACCCCAGCCCCTTCAGGGCAAGTTTGTATTTTCTCCTTTCCCTTTTTCTCTTTTCTCTCCTTTTCCTTCCTTTCTCTCCCTCTTTATTTCTTTCTTTTCTTTTCTTTCTTTTTTTTTTTTTTTTGGTACCTGGGTTTGAGCTCGAACACTGAGCCCCATCCCCAGCCCTATTTGGTATTTTATTTAGAGACAGGGTCTCAGTAAATTGCTTAGTGCCTCACTTTTGCTGAGGCTGGCTTTGAACTCTAATCCTCCTGCCTCAGCCTCCCTAGCCCCTGGGATTGAGTCGTGGGACACGTGCCTGACCTCTTTCATGTTTTGATTACTGAAGCACCTCAGTACTTAAAACATTGCCTGACACTATGGTAAGCACTTTGATGAGCTAAGTCAGGTTTAGTTTTTGCTCTCATTGAGAGTACAGGCTAGGGGCTGGGGTTGTGGCTCAGTGGTAGAGTGCTTGCCTAGTATGCGTGAGGCACTGGGTGGGTTCGAAACCTGGAACCACATTAAAAAATAAATAAATAAAATAGAACAAAGGTTATTTGATCTACAACTTAAAAAAAAAAAAAGAGTACAGGCTAGCCAGGCATGGTGGTGCACCCCTGTAATCCCAGAGGCTAGGGAGGCTGAAGCAGGAGGATCAGAGTTCAAAGCAAGCCTCGGCAGTGGTGAGGTACTAAGCAACTCAGTGAGACCCTGTCTCTAAATAAAACTCAAAATAAGGCTGGGGATGTAGCTCAGTGGTGGAGTGCCCTGAGTTCAATCCCCAGTACCAAAAAAAAAAAAAAAAGAGTACAGGCTAGAGGGGTTGGGGTGGGGCTGGGGCTCAGTGTCAGAATGCTTACCTAGCATGCATGAGGCACTGGGTTCAATTATTAGCACCACATACAAGAAAAAAAGCAAATAAAATAAAGGCATGCTGTCCATCTACAACTACAAATTTTTTTTTTTTTTAAAGAGTACAGGCTAAGGGGGCTGGGGTTGAGGCTCAGTGGTAGAGTGCTTGCCTATCATGCATGAGGCACTGAGTTCTTTCCTCAGCACCACATAAATGTAAAATAAAGATATTGTGTCCACCTAAAACGTAAAAATAAATATTAAAAAAAAGAGAGTAGAGGCTAGGGCTGGGGTTGTGGCTCTGTGGTACAACACTTGCCTAGCACCTATGAGGCACTGGGTTCCATCCTCAGCACCACATAAAAATAAATAAACAAAATAAAGTTATCGTGTCCATCTACAGATTATATATATATATGTGTGTGTGTGTATACACACAAGAGTACAGGCATAAATCAAAAAAATCTCACAAGTCAAGGCAGTATCACAGGCCTGTAATCCCAGTGGCTTGGGAGGCTGACGCAGGAGGATCTCCAGCCTCAGCAATTTAGTGAGGCCCTAAGCAATTTAGCGAGGCCCTGTTCCTAAATAAAATATAAAAAGGGCTGGATGTAGCTCAGTGGTTTTGTACCCCTGGGTTCACTCTGCAGTAACGAAAGAAAGAAAGAAATCTCACAAATGATATGCAGTTACAAACTGGAGAGTATGCACTAAGAGGAAATGATATAGTATTGTAAGAGCAAATAGGTGGGGAGTGCTGACCTAGCCTCGGGGAGGGACATTTCCATGAGGAAGTGACGCTCAGAGTGGTGTGCATGCTTGAACACTCTCTGCCCTCCAGTTCTAACCCTCATCTTTTCTCTCAGCTCCAAGTCCAAGGCCCGGCCATCCTCTCCCTCCTGGCACAGGCCTGCCTCCCCCTGCCCCAGCCCAGGGCCAGGACACACTCTGCCCCCGAAACCACCGTCCCCCAGAGGCATCACCGCATCACCTAAGGGGAGGGTTCGGAGGAAGGAGGAGGCAAAGGAGAGCCCCAGCACAGCAGGGCCAGAGGACAAGAACCAGAGCAAGAGCAGGGCAAGTGATGAGAAGGAGCCAGCAGCTCCAGCCTCACCAGCACCCTCACCTGTGCCCTCGCCCACCCCTGCCCAGCCCCAGAAGGAGCAACCCACAGCAGAGATCCCTGCAGGTGGGCATGAAGAGAAAGTGGAAAGCCAGGGAAGCCAGCTTTGCCTGCATGGGAGGTGGTCAGGGGGGTGGGCCACCAGAGATGCCTGGGGACTGGTACAAGAAGAGGGGCTGAGCTGGGGTTGTGACTCAAGTGATACAGCGCTGGCCTGGCACAAGTGGGAAACTGGGTTCCATCCTCAGCACCACATAAAAATAAAAACTAAAGATACTGTAGCCACCTAAAAAACTAAAAAAATAAATATTTACTGCCCCCAGCAGGTTCAGCCCTCAGAACACAGGCTACTCAGTGTGGATGGTAGCAGTTCAGTGGGTGGGTTACTTTGAGGTCCAGGAAGCAGGGGTAAGCTGGGGTGGCAGAGGAGCCTGTACAGATGTGTGCTGACTCCCTGGTCTTGGCTTCCCTCCAGGTACTGCTGTCCTGACCTCACCCCCAGCGCCGGCTCCCCCAGTGACCCCTAGCAAACCCATGGCTGGCACCACAGACCGAGAAGAAGCCACTCGACTCCTGGCTGAGAAAAGGCGCCAGGCCCGGGAGCAGCGGGAGCGCGAGGAACAAGAACGGAAGCTGCAGGCAGAAAGGGACAAGTGAGTGTGCCCTCGGGGACTGAGGGGGCCCTGTGTGGCCTGGAGAAGAGGCTCAGACTGAGCCTCATTTTCCCTGTCCTTCAGAAGAATGAGGGAGGAGCAGCTGGCGCGGGAGGCCGAGGCCCGGGCACAGCGAGAGGCCGAGGCCCAGAGGCGGGAGGAGCAGGAGGCCCGAGAGAAGGCGCAGGCGGAGCAGGAGGAGCAAGAGCGGCTGCAGAAGCAGGTGCCCCAGCTGGCGGGAAGGCCTGGGAGGGAGGAGGGCAGGAGCCAGGTGCCCAAAGCTCACTGGAGTCTTTGGCAGAAAGAGGAGGCCGAAGCCCGGTCCCGGGAAGAAGCAGAAAGGCAGCGTCTGGAGCGGGAAAAGCACTTCCAGCGAGAGGAACAGGAGAGGCAAGAGCGCAGAAAGGTGTGTGGGGAGCCCTTGGGGCTCACGTGGGCGTGGTCTATGTACTGGGCGTGGTCTGCATCTGGGTTGGGTGGTGCTAATTGAATGCAACCAGAGAGCCCAGCCCAGAGTTTGTAGAGGGTGGGATGAGGACTTGGGGCCAGTTCTGATTCCTGGCTTGAAAAGGGTTGTTATGAGCTGGGGGTGGTTGGTGCGAGGTTTAGGATAAGGCCGGGGCTTGGGCCTAACTGTTTGGGGCCTCCAAACAGCGTCTGGAGGAGATAATGAAGAGGACTCGGAAGTCAGAAGTTGCTGAAACCAAGGTCAGGATTCCTGGGTTGGGAGCAGGGATTGGGGAGAGGAGGGGAGGAGGATGTGAAAGGCATCCACAGAAGGAGGGAGGCTGTGGGGGAGGCCCAGATGGGAAGACTTGAGGACCACAGTCAGATGGGTCCAGATAGCCCTTGGATCTGACTGCTGTTCCTCCTCAAAGCAGAAACAGGACAGAAAGGAGGCAAAAGCCAACAATTCTGACCCAGGTAAAGCCCCTGTCCCCCTTATCTCCATCCCTTTTGCTATCCCCAACCTCCAGCGTCACTTGCCAGCCACTGGCCAATGACCATTCCTTCCCTGACATAGATTCTGTGAAAGTTGTAGAGGCTCGACCCTCAGGGTTGCAGAAGGAAGCTGTGCAGAAAGAGGAGCCAGCTCCCCAGGAGCCACAGTGGAGGTACTAGCTCCCAGCCCTAGGGACCCTGAGCAGGAAGGCAGCCTTAGGCTGGACCTGGGGGGTGGCCTGGGGACTGGGAGGCAAGGTGCTAACTGGGGCCCCCTCATTCACAGCCTGCCAAGCAAGGAGCTACCTGGGTCCCTGGTAAATGGCCTGCAGCCTCTTCCAGCACACCAAGAGAATGGCTTCTCCCCCAAGGGACCTTCTGGGGACAAGAGTCTGGGTCGAACACCAGAGGCAATCCTGCCCTTTGCAGAAGCAGAAGCCTTCCTCAAGAAAGCTGTGGTGCAGCCTCCACAGGTCACAGGTAGGGACCCCTGGCTCCTGGACCCAGATCCAACCCTCCCAGCATCCCTCTCCAGATCCCCCAGCCCTGCCTTCTCGTCTTAGAACTTTGCAAGAGGCTCTCCCTGCTGCTCCCTGAAGACCCCAAGAGGCAAGCTTTCCCTGACTCTACCCTTCCTCCTTTCCCCTAGAAGTCCTTTAAGGGGTTGCCTTGGATCCAGACATGGCTGTGAGGGCTCCTCTGCGTCATCTACCAGGATGTCTGGAGGAGAAAGAGACAGAACACAGATGGAAGTGGCCTGGGCCCCTGGGGGTGGGTCCTCTCTGTTGTTAATCTGCACCTTATAGACTGATGTCTCTTTGGCTGGAGCCAGACCCTGCCCCTCAGTGCATTCGTGTGCTCACACGCGCAGACACCCCCCATACACACACATACACTCACAGCCTCTCTGGCCTCCCCCCTGGGGCAGGGCCATCTGTAGTATTTGCCTTGGTTTGGTGGGGTACAGTGGATGTGAATACTGTAAATAGCTTGTGCTCAGATGCCTCTGTGTGGAGGGGGCAGGTGCAGGAGGCAAACCCTCCTTCCAATGCTCCCTGGGGAGATCTTCCTCTCTCTATTTAACTGTAACTGAGGGAGAACCCAGGCCTGGGAATGGGGGGACACCTTGGGCCACAGGATACTGGTTGCTTCAGGGGAACCCATTCCCCCACCCTCGCCTGGAATCAGTGTTATTGCATCTGATCAAACTTCTCCAGAAATAAAGTGAGAATAATTCTGCCAAACCTGTCTATCTTTGGAGCTGGCGGTGAGGGTGGGAGTAGGTGGATTCCTGAGTTCTAAGAAATGAAGGGGCCTAGGGCCTAGGGATACCTCTCCCTACCTGCCGGTACGAATCCTAGACCCCCTGCTCTATGATCTTTCAGTCGGCTCATGAATTCATTCATTTATCCATTCTTTCAACAAATATTTTCACATCTACCCTGCATCAGGCCTAGGCTACACAATGTAGATGCAGTAGTAGGAAAAGATGTAACCTCTGTCCTGTGTGTTACAGTCTAACGGTAAGCACCATAGGCATTGTGGGCCACCTACTCGACATCCATTGCCGTCACCCCTTCCTCATTCCACACAATCCTGATTTGTTGAGGTACCCATCTTCCTCCTAGACCCCACCCTGTGCTTTAGCAGATCCACGCCCCAGAGATCAGTCATGATTGTGGTGAGCCAAAAGTGATGGCCCCAAGTCCCTTGTGAGCTATTGATTAAGCATGAACAATTCCAGCCAACAAATGTGAAGAGAATCCACTTGGGGGCTTCTGGAAAAGGCTCTCTCACTTGAAAGGAACCACAATGTAGCAGCCACCCTCTAAGATGATCTCCCAATGTCTCCTGGTATTCACATCCTTTTGTTGTACCACATTGTACCAGGGTGGGGCCAAAATACCAGTAGAATACTGCACAAGCAATGGTGTGTCACTCTGAGACCAATCTGTGAAAGATACTGAAGCCTGTTGTGGTTGCTCTCTCTCTCTTGGGTCACTCACCCTGGGGAAGGCAGCTGCAGTCCTGAGCAATCTTGTAGAGAGGCCCACATATCAAGAAACCAAAGCCTTCTGCCAGCAACCATGTGAATAAGCTTGGAAGCAGATCTTCCAGCCTAGGCCAGCCTTCAGATGACATCAGTCCTGGCCAACAGCTTGACTGTCACCTCATGAGAGACCCTGAGCTAGAACCAACCAGTTCTACTTCCCAGAAACTGTGAGATAATAAATGTTTTAAACTGTTAAGTTTTGTGATAATTTGTCACAGTGCAATAGTTAATATACATTATGAGGAGAAAACCCTGCTTGTATGATATGAAGTCCCAATAGGCTGCTTGAAATTCTGCATCCTCCTGCTAATTAACCTAAGGACAAAGCCAACATCAAGGATGGCAGAGCAGCCAGATGAGAACCTCTGACCTTGAGCATCACTGAATTAGCCAACTCCTTCCCTGACTGTTTAGTCACTGCAAATTGGTTTTTTGTTCCCTGTGCCCCAAAGCTTCTAACTTATACAGGGACAATAAACAAATACTTAAACTTGAGGGGAAGCCAGCCATGTGAAAAGAAGCAAGGAGAGTCACAGGGGAGGAGAGCATGTGGCGCGCGCGCGCGCGCGCACACACACACACACACACACACACACACACACACCCTGGGGAGAAGCAGGGTTGTAGGGGCAACAGAAACAGTAGGGAGAGTAGCTAGATGGGGCTGGGAAGGTGGTCAGGGGCCAAGTCATAGGAACCAGGGAGATGACAAGTGCAGGAAGGGAACAGATGCTCTGGGCCCTCTCCTTGGTGGAGCTCTTTGCACACCCCTCCCACCCCCAGCTCCTGTTTGCTCTAGGGCAGAGACTCCAAGATTTCCCTGAAGAGCAACACCCTCTGAACACTCTTGGGGAATCATTTACTCATTTATTCAATCAATAAATTGCCTGTGGAGCACCTACTAAGCACCAGAGGGCTCTGACAGTGAGCACAAACCAGGTCCAGAGCTCCTGAGCTTCCCAGTGGGGAAGACGGATATTAACCAAAGAATCACACAAACAAACGTGAAAATAGAAAACATGCTACATCACATTACTTACATTTTAAGTGCAACTAAGACTATCAACGTGGAACAAAAAGCGAATAGAGCAGGGGTCGAACCCAAGCTCAGGGTAGCATAAGGTATCTCCGAATAAATGGAGTTTGGGCTGAAGCCTAGGAGTGAGCAAATGCTGACTGGACAATGTCAGGAAAGTAGAGAAAGAAGAAGGATAAGCACTTTCTAGGCAAGGAAGGAGGCTGTGTGGGAAAGGGCTGTGTTTGAATATCCACAGAACTGTGAGCAAATCTGAAGGGGTCTGTTTTTGCTTACTGGAGTCCTGAGTGCCTGTAGAATAGGTTACTCAATATTTGTTGAATTAAGAAAGGTCCATTCAGGGGGCTGGGTTGTGGCTCAGTGGCAGAACGCTTACCTAGCATGTGTGAGGCACTGGGTCCGATTCTCAGCACTGCATATAAATAAATAAATGAATAAAATAAAGGTTCATCAACATCTAAAAAAAAAAAAGAAAAAAGAAAATCCACTAAGGGCTGGGGATGTAGCTCAATGGCAGAGCTCACCCAGCATGTGATCCCCAGCAGTACAAATAAATAAATAAAAAGGTCCCTTGAGGTGGAGCTTGGCATGAGGTGAGCCAGATCCTGCCAGGCCTTGTAAGGCCATAGTCAGAAGCTTGGGTTTTATTCCCGGGGCCCTGGGAAGCCTCTGAGGTTATTGAAGGGGTAGAGTAACATGATCAGATTGGCAATTCCACTAGACCACTGTGCCATCTGAGTGGGAAACTCATGGGTAGAGACTTGATGAAAATTGGAAGGCAAGAAGTGATTGCTGAGTTCCAGATAAGATTTACTTAGTCATTCAAGAAACATTTGTTCAGTACCTTCTATGCCAGGTATGAAGGTACTAGAGATTTTTTGAATTTATTTATTTATTATTACTTTTTTGTGTGTGTGGTACTGGAAATTGAACTCAGGAGGGCCTTGCACTGCTGGAATTTTATTCTATTATTATCATTTGTGTGTGTGTGTGTGTGTGTGTGTGTGTTTCTGAGAATGGAACCCAGGACCTTGTGCATGCTAGGCAAGTGCTTTACCACTGAACTACATCCCCAGCTCTGGAAATTGTTTGTTTGTTTGTTTGTTTTTGTCGATGGATCATTTATTTATTTATATGTGGTGCTGAGAATCAACCCAGTGCCTCATGCATGCTAGACAAGTGCTCCACCACTGAGCCACCACCCCAGCCCCTGTACATCTTTTTTAAGTGAGCAAAACTTGACATGGCCTTTACCCTCATGGAACTCTAGTAATAAATAATGTTTTTTAAAAGATCCAGATCTGGGCTAGGTATATAGCTCAGTTGGTAGAGTGTTTGCCTAGCATGCATAAGGCCCTGGGTTCAATCTCCAGCATCACACACACACCAGAAAAGGTACAGATCCAGGAGTGGTGGTAGGTACCTGTAATCCCAGCAACTCAGGAGGCTGAGGCAGGAGAATCACAAGTTGGAGGCCAGCCTCGGCAACTTAGTAAGACCGTATATCAAAAACAGAAAAAGACGACTAGGGATGTAACTCTATGGTACACCATTCCTGGGTTCAATCTTCAATACAAAAATGTAAATAGAACAGGACAGGCAGTGTATAGGGTATTTGCCTAGCATCAAAACAAAACAGAAACAAATGTAGAATTACAACTATGACAATCTGAGAATACTGAAAAAGTATGCGGTGTTAGGAAAGCAAATAATAAGGGATCTGACCTAGTCAGGAGGTGAACCAGGCTGTCTCTGAAAAAGGCAATGCTAGAACTTCTATCTGAAGGGCTAGGACTTGGAGAATGGGATTCCGGGAAGTCCTGAGGCACGGCTGGCTTTGGAGGAACGGGGGCAGGCTGCAGGGAAGCTGGTCTCCGGGTCTGATTTCCTGGTTTCCTTGCCTGTGACTAGGACTGTACGGTCTGCTCCGGGCCCTGACTGAGTCTGAGAAGGGAGGTGGAGGCCCGGGCCGCCCCTCGGGAGAGCCTCCCTTCCCCCAGCACTGCCCTTTCCCCCAACACGGCCAGACAAGGCAGCGCTGGAAGCAGCGAAGAAAACACCCTGGAGCGGCTCCTCCCTCCATCCCTGCCGCCAGTGTTCCTGAACTCCGGCTTTCTAACCACCCCCAACACACACGCACCCTTTCTGTACCAGACTCCCCAGTTCCGGGGGCCTGTGGCCCTCCAGTCCCAGTGGGCCCCTCTCAAAGGAACTTTCGCTGCAACCCCTAAGTGTGCCCAGCCGCCCCTTGAGCGGGCATCTGGCTCCACCTAGTGGTTAAATGAGCGCAGTGTCAAGATGGAGAGGAGGTAGCTGCGGAGACCGCAGTGGACCAGACACAGGGCTAGCGGCCTGGGCCCTGACCTAGAGGTCAGGAAATGCCTCCTGTCCCTCTGGTTGGGCCAGTGACTTGTCCTAGAGCTGTAGACAGTTCCTCTGACCTCTGTGAGCTTCAGTTTCCTCACCCGGAAATTAGGGCTTGTGATAGGGGTGAGACATTCCTTGAACTGAAACAGGGAAAAAAATAATAAAAGTCTTGTTGTTGTTTGCAAGGCCTCTTCCTACCCTGAGGGGCAGCTCAACAACACCTCCTTTGTATCACCATCTAATTCGCCAAACCACTTCACTTTGGAACAACTCGTGTGTGTGTGTGTGTGTGTGTGTGTGTGTGTGTGTGTTTCTGATATGGCCAGAACATTGAGTACTAATTAATCAGTTAGACCAGGTCCTGGCTTTCAGAAGTGGAAGGAGACATATAATTGTAATAGAATGTGGGAGGTCAATGACAGAAGTAGGCACAGGGTGTTCTACCAATATAAAGGAGAAATATTTGATCCAGAGTCAAGGGAGAGAGGATATGTCAGGAGAGGTTTTCTATAGGAGGTAATACCTGAGCAGGTTCTTTGGATTAAGGGTTGAGAACTTGAATAGCTTCCAAGGAGGAGTCTGCATCACTGAGTTCCGGTCCACAGTTGCCAAGTGTAATTGGATCTCCAGTATTGCTGGAAGTGGCCTCCCATGGGTAGGGGAATGGGCAACCTCTACCCCAGGTATGCAAAAAAAGTACATCATCTGTAGAATTTAAGAACCCAAATAAAAACAACTAAAAGTCAGTTTGTGGGGCTGAGACTGTGGCTCAGCAGTAGTGCACTTGC